ATATAAACACTACAAAAATCCACATCATATTAATCCCAATGTTGTTGTTAGTGAAATAACAAAAAGTTATCAGTTAAAAACTCAAGAATTGCTTATTGAATAGTATAAATATGTGATTTATATTTATAAAATTGTTATTTTTAGTTATAAGTCGAGTACAGTATCTCGAATTTAAGTTCAAAATAATGTTTGGAATGTATGAAAGAAAAGACACTGAATATTTTTGCCACATGAAACACCCACATTAGTTATTAGTACTTAACCATGTAAATCACTTAGAATTAACCGAAGATACGACGTATATATTATATTTGACTTAATCCTTTCCATTTTATGTTTAAGTTTAACTAATGAAAACAATATTTGGAATTGCTGTGAAACCATTAGTTATCTTTCTCATTTTTGTGTGTGCAATGTGATGAAAGGAGTAGAAGATGATGAAATGCAAAAGATTCCATTAATACATGAACAAGATAGGAGTTGGAACCACAAGCCTTTCTACCATGTATATATATATATATTGATAGCTAGTTCTCCATTATTGTTTTCATAATGCCAACTCTGTAAACTTTATGAACTTTTAGATTCTCTTCTTCTTCAATTTTGATTACAATGTATCATGGGATATGTGTGTTTTTTATACCATTAACAAAGCACAATAGTTTTATGTATACATGAAATTCTACTATATATAGAGACAGAGAGAGTATAGATGTATGTGTGACATGATTGGACATGATCATGTGAATGGATGTAAGTATTTGTCTTCATGGAAAGACCGTTGAGACATGTGACTCTCTTTTTGTTGTTTCTTCTTCTTTTTATCCTCCTGGTGAATCACAGACACTAACACAAAGATGAAACTTTTGAATCCAATTTTGACTTGTTCCTATCTTTGACGCAAAATGTCAAGCATGTGTTCAACTCTTTATCATTGTTTCACACTAAAAGTCATGCTCTGTGGTTGTTATACACTTATACATTTATAGTAGAACTATATATTATTAATTTATCAATAGAAAAAATCAGCTAATTAGTTACTTCTCAAAAATATGTTTAATATCATTGACCCCAAAATAGAAGCAGAGAACAACAACAAAAGAAAATGAGAAATGAAAAGGCAAATTTATATATGTCTTTTATGCATATTGGACCTGAGTCTTAAAACAATAAATCGGCTCTTTTACTGGCCCATATAGATAAGAAATAACATGCCCCTTGGTAACCAGAAACTGAGATATAAACTAACCCATACTTGGGGAGAGACTGAGAGAGGATCTATTCTTTTATTTACTGCGTTTGTAAACTGAATATGTAACTGTGATAGAGAACAACATTAACTACTTGTCTCTATAAAATAGCACACCTATGGAAAAGCCTCAACAAAGTTCTAAGCAAAATTTCAACTGATGTAGTTGAGTACTTTTGCTCTCTAGCCAAAAAAACTCATACCAAATCCACATGAGACTGAAGGCAGCGAATGAGTGGAGTATTTTTTTTTTTTTTTTTTTTTTTGAATGAATGTAAAATTATATTCAACCCAAAAAAAGTTCTTGGTACATTATATGCATCCTTGTTTTGGCATAGGATTTAAAACACAGAAAAAAAAAAATATATATATATATATATATATATAAATCTTATGACCTTGAATCAAACCAAATATGGAGACTATCCGGCATCTTGTTTGGATTAAGAAGCCGAATAGAGGAGAGCTTATTGCGAACGAGCCTGTCAAGGCGCTGTATGAGTTGATCAACGGAGATTGGTCGTTCTCCATGTCTACGCTTATTTCTTTCGATCCACAAAGTATGGACTGTGGCTTGGAAGACAAGTCTTAAGATGAAACGTGAAGTCCCTTTGAATGTTGTAGTAGAGAGAATATTGATGATCTGAGTAAAACAAGTTGAAAAATGAGTTCTAAGAAGCTTACGAGTGAGTACTCCCCAGATCCGAGAGGAGTAAGGGCAGCTAAAGAAAAGATGATCAAGTGTCTCCAAAGGGGCTTGGCAGAACACACACGACGGGTTCACACCCCTGTTCCATGTTACCATGCGAGCACCCGTTGTAATCCTGTTTTTTGCGACCAGCCAAAGCATGAACGAGTACTTTGGTGTCGAATCTGAGAACCATATGGCCTTAGACCAATTAACCTTTGGCTTAGCTTGTCGAAGCTGCAACCACGTCTCCGAAGTGGAGAAACGATCTTTATACTTGTTGTTTGTGTGACGCCAAAGAGCAACATCTTTCTCCAAGGACGGGCCTCTCGCTCTGATTTTTTCTATCTCATGTTCAATGTTATTAAGTAGGGCATTCCGATGGTGGCGGTGTGGATGAGAAGAGAGAACCGAAGCAACCGTAGCGGAAGAGGGAATTCCAAGAGCAATGAAACCTCGGCTGCCAAATGTCTCAAACAGACGGCCCATTGGACTCCATCTATCAAACCAAAAAGATGTTTGTAAGCCACTCCTTACATGCATCAAAGCAAAATCCCCGGCCTGAGATCTGTATTTAAGCAATTTCTTCCACATCCAACTTCCTTTTGTCGTATTACCACATATAGACCAGAAAGAAGCCGACCTTAGGAGCTCCCTTTGAATATAATTCACCCACAAAGAGTTTGTACCAGAAACTATTCTCCAAATTAACTTAAAACAGCTCACTTTATTTGTTTCAGCCAATGATTTCAACCCCAAACCCCCCTCAGATTTAGGGGCACACACGTCCTTCCAAGCAACCTTATTTTTCCTCGCATTTAGCTCTGGCCCAGACCAAAGAAAAGCGGAACAAATTTTCTCTATCTCCTGAACACAAGCGCTCGGTAACCGAAAAGCTGAAATCCAAAAATTTGTAAGACTTGCTATTACCGAGTTTAAAAGTTGAAGGCGCCCAGCAAATGAGAGAAAACGACTCTTCCAGGAGGCTATCCGTTGTCTAATGCGTTCAAGAAGAGGTAGACAATCATCCAGAGACATCCGCTTTGTAAGCAAAGGTAAGCCTAAATAGCGTACAGGTAAAGTACCGCAAGCAAAAGGGAAGCGAGCAAGAATAGCTGCTCTAGTAGAGCCGTAGACTCCAGCCAAGAAAAGCGTTGATTTCTCTAAGCTTATGCTTAGCCCTGACATTGCTGCAAAGTCCTTAAAAACCTCTAAAATCCCCTCCAAAGAAGAGGCTTTCCCATCCGAGAAGATCATAATGTCATCCGCAAAACACAGATGAGTAAGCGCCATGGCCTTACACCGAGGGTGGTAACCAAAACTCTGAGAAACTGCAGCTTTGTCAAGGAGAGTAGACAGCACATTCATGCATATCAGAAAAAGATAAGGGGAGAGCGAACAACCTTGTCGCAATCCACGCTTGCTTGGAAAAAAACCAGCTAACTCCCCATTTATTTGAACTGAAAAAGAAGCCGTTGAAATACAAAGGTAAATCCAGTGGATGAACCGTTCCGGAAGGTTAAGAGCTGCAAGGACATTCAGCAGAAAAGACCACTGAACCGAATCAAAAGCTTTTGAGATGTCTATTTTCATTGCACACCGAGAAGAAATGTTCTCCTTTTGATAATCTTTCACTAATTCAGTAGCAAGAAGCAAGTTCTCCATCAATAATCTGTCTTTAATAAAAGCAGATTGATTTGGAGCAATAATCCCGGGGAGAATGGTTTTGAGCCGGTTTGCTAGAATCTTGGAGATAAGCTTATATAAGACATTACAACAAGAGATAGGCCTATAATCTTTCATTTCTCGAGCATCAACCTTCTTAGGAATAAGCGCTAGGATTGTAGCATTGACACCTTTTGGTAAAAAACCAAACCGGAAAAAAGATTGAATCGCCTTGGTAAGATCAGTGCCAACAATAGACCAGGCACTCTTAAAAAATTCAACTGTATATCCATCTGGACCCGGTGATTTATTGGAGGGCATAGAAAACAGAACATGTTTCACCTCCTCGTCTAGAACAACAGCTTGAAGCATATCCTGATCATGCTGCGTACATCTAAAAGGTAAGAGATCTTGCAGAGCTTCGATAGACACACCAGTAAACTCCGGAGGCGTGTGAGATAAAAGATGTGTGAAAAACCGGACGCCTTCTTCTTTAATATCCTCCGGCTGGGTAAGACAACGACCATGGTGATCCAAAACTTCATGAATTGAATTTTGGGTCATTCTCTCCCGGATTGCATTGTAGAAAGCTTTGTTGTTTTTGTCCCCTACTTGCAGCCAATGCAACTTGGATCTTTGTTTAAGAAATCTCTCCTCTAGGGCTGTTACACTTTCCCAGCGTTCAAAAGCCAAGGCTTCAGCAGCAACCGCAGAGTGGAGTATTTTATGTGTAAGGGATGGCGTTTTTTGCTCTTTTAAAGCGTGGAGAACAAAGTCTCATCTCATAGTCAACTTTTGTTTATAAACTGTGGTAGACATTACTATTTTGATCTCATCAACACAAGTTTAATGAATTATAATGCAGTGCCTGTTTCGGTAAAAGTAATGTACACAGTTTTTGTTGACATATATGATTAAAATAAGCAAGCATACCATTTGGAAAACAGAGCGAGGTGTTCACATTATAAGTATCAGTTTCACATGTATCTTCCTATCTCGTTTTGCTAATAAATCAAAATTTGAATACTAAAAGAATATTGCAATTTAAAAAAAAAAACTATAAGAAGATTGAATACACGAGGAATTGAGAAATAAACAGACAATTTGGTCTAACAAACATTTATGTTGACCTATTCAAAAACATAACAAGTTCATGTCTTTCAAGTTTTCCAATCCGAGGAAAACTTGGTTATTGGATTCATGATCCTAAAATCTCAGTGTCTAAAACAAATCATTTTATGTATGTTCTGATTAGGAATAAATGATAGTTAAACACAAACATTACCGAAACTTTCTCACACAAAATCAGTCTATAAAAAACCTGCTTTTTGAGATCAGAAATAACATGGCAAGAACATATCCAATAGAGGGGAAAGTCTAGTAATTTGTATTATCTGATTCTGTATTTAGTATTATATCCAATAGTAACATTTTACAACTCATAAACAACAACAACAATAAAAAAAAATGATTGTAACTTTCAAGAAACAGGGGAATCATCACCTAATCCCATCAAATCACCTCAGAGAAACCCCAAAAAGTTAGAAGAAAAAAAAACTATAAAAAGAGAAAGCAAAAACATGTTAATCTGAATGAGAGTAATGATCATAATAGTCATCATCAAACGACGAAATAGATCGATCATCATCATCATCATCATCAGAATAATAATCACGATGATGATAAAGATTATTATGATCAAAAGCAAGTCGATCATCATCATCAACATCCGATGATGAAGAAGTCTCGTAGGTGTATGAGTAGAAAGAATCAGAAGAAGGGAGACACATGAAAGTCCATAAACAGAGCACGAAACGACCCAACTGATGCACCGGGTAGCAAACAGCTATGTCCAAAAGCTGCTCTGTATTGATCCTCTGCGACGACGGTACCCTCCATATCATCTGCCACGTGTCCGTTGAGACTTCTGCTACCGCCATAATCGTCGCACTGTTGAACACCATTACCAAATTCTCTCTCTCTCTCGAGGCTGCGCTGAATTGGGGACGATGGCTTTTTTTTTCGGGTTGGTTACGATTTTGACTTTCGTCTCCGAGCCGTTTCGTGCTTCTTCTGAAGTCCTTATTGTATTTTTCGCAAGTTGACCGTTTTTTTTTAACAACAACCATAAAAGATATGTTAATCAATTTGGACCTCAAAGTTATGATCTTTTAGGGGAATCATTCGAAAGTTGAGACCTTTGACTTGTAAATCCAAAACCCAGTTTTTATTTTGCAATTTAAAGCCCAAAGTTGAAACCTTTAGACAAGAACTAGATTTCTGGTTTTGTACGTTTAAGGTTTGTGTCCTATATTATAAGCCCAACCCATCATCACTTGTAACTGAAGAGAGTTGGAGCCACTGAAAATAGCAAACGGTCAAAATTTGAAGATAAGGCCATCTTGTGTGAGTGAGTGTTGGTCTTCTTTCGTTCTCCATGGCTAAACTGATCTGAAATGTTTTCAGAGGCGTAACAATGGCTTTGCTTCATTCTATGAATGTTCCACATTGCAAATTTCCTTTGAGTAGATCTTCAAAAATTATTTTGAGCTCATCTTTTGCTTCTTTGCCACTTCAGTTTAATAAAAATGTTATGAGGTTAGAATCTTCTCTTATACCATCAGCTTCAGCAGCTGCTTCACCGGCGTTTCCAATTGACGTTGAGTATCTCCGGAGAGAGTTCTCTGGCCATGGAGCCACTTTCCAGGATATCGGTATATATTTCCTCTAGTTTCATTCTTACAAGTTGGATTACAAAAACAAAAAGGCTTACAAATTTGATAATGGGGCAGGTGAGACATGTATTGCTAAACTAAAAATGGACAATGGGAGTTCAGCCAATGTTATGTTGTCACGTGGGATGGTAACATCGTACAAAGTCAGAGTATGGCACGGTGGCAAAGTGGAGCTTCTCCACACATGGGTGGAACAAGAGGAAGAAGATGTAGTGATACGAGGAGGTGTTTCATCTGCATTTACTTCATCAGATTCTGATGATGAGATCAATGAATGGAGACTCCATGGGATCAGTGGAGATTCAAAGGATTGTGTTCAAATGGAGCTTAGAAGAAGTGACAAGAAGATCAAAGAGATTGAAATGAAACAGATTATATGTCTGAGAGAAGAAACACTCAGCATTGAGATTTTTGTGACAAACAAAGGCAGTTCACCAATTAGGCTCAAGGGTTGTTCACTTGTAAGTTATTTGACAGTGAGTACACCAGAAGCTACATATGCAGTTGGGCTAGAAGGTTCTGATTTTGTGGAAACGACTCCGTTTCTCCCTCGTTTCGGAATGGTTCAAGGCGAGGAAGAAGAAGAAAGATCCGGGTTTGGTGGGGAAGAAGAGAGCAACTACAAACAGTTGAATGAAGAGATGAGTAGGATTTACACATGTGCTCCAAAGAGCTTCACTGTCATTGATAGGGTAATAATGTATATCAATACTAACTTTTCAATTCAAATATTATTTGTGTATCTAATGAAACTGGTTAATTTCTGCAGGGAAGACGAAACTCAGTGGTAGTGGGAAGAGAAGGATTTGAAGAAGTGTACATGTACAGTCCAGGTTCAAAACTTGAAAGTTACACAAAGTCTGCTTATGTCTGTATTGGACCATCTTCATTGTTAAGTCCAATCTCTTTGGAACCTGGTTGTGTATGGAGAGGTGTCCTTCATCTTCACAATCCTAATTCCTAAGGCGTCTTCTTTTAATATAATAATAACTTGATTGGCTAATTAAAAGGTATCAAAACAGTTATTTTCAAGTTTTAACCTCCCAAGATCATCAAATTCTTCCAACTAGATAATCTAGTATTCAACTCCATCAGCGGACAACCTCATTATGAAGTGCCTAAAACATTATTAAAATACAAGTGAAAAATGTTTAAGAAAATAGTATCAATGAAGGAGAAACATTGTCATCTCCCCTCGTTGATCTTGAGTCCAAGCATTGGCTTAAAGTCACTGTCTTTGGGCGTCACAAACCTCGTGGAAGAGGCCCAAGAAGTGCTTGTGTCTGTAGCTTGAAAGGCGCTGAAAGAGGAGCTTGAGGTGTCATTAATTCTCCAGTCGGTTAGGTAACCTGGCTTAGAGGTCGCATCAGTGACCTCAATGTCTCCTGAAAGCATGGCTACCACTCTTGACATTGGTGGTCTCAAGCCATAAGATGACTGAATGCACAACAGAGCAATTCCTATCATGCGTTGCACTTCGTCCATGTTGATTTCAGTCAGATCAGGATCGATTAGTTCAATTTCACTATTTTTCTCATGTAGATTCCATGCCTATATACACCACACGATTATATCAGCTTAAACAATTGCCAATCAAAATGTATATATGTAGATAACAAATTAAGACGACGTACCCATTCAAGAAGAAATTTTTTTTCATCATTCAGGCTCACATCAGAGTTTGGCCTTCCACTCACTAGCTCAAGAACCACAACACCAAAAGCATACACATCCGTTTTCTCTGTTAGGTATCCACGCATGGCATACTCTGGCGCAAGATACCCACTACAATGGTAGAAGATCATGTGTTATATATATAAAAATGTAGTTTTGTTTTTGCAAAGAAGAAAACTAGTAGAGGGTTTAGGGAGGTGTACATGGTCCCTGCCACTCTGGTACTTATGTGGGTTTTCTTGTCATCGTATAGCTTTGCAAGCCCAAAATCAGAAACTTTTGGGAGCAGCTTAGAGTCAAGCAAAATGTTGCTGGCCTTCACATCCCTATGTACTATGCAAACACTCGCCTCCTCATGGAGGTAGGCTAGACCTCTGGCAACTCCCATGCATATCTCAAAACGGGTTGACCAATCAAGGTGTAAAGTCTTTTCACCTCCTGCAACATCAAATATCAGCTTGGTATAGAAACAAAGATAAATAAATAATCACTCTGCTCATTACTTACCATGGCCAAATAGTGCATGATCGAGACTTCCATTTGGGAGGTACTCATATACAAGCAAACGATGATCTCCTTCATAGCAGCACCCGTAAAGCTTTACTAGGTTGCGATGCAGAACTGTAGAAATTGTTACGATTTCTGCAACAAACTGCCCCTTCCCTTGTCGGGATCCAACCGACAACTCTTTCACCGCGATCTCTCTTCCATCACTCAGGGTCCCCTGTTGAATGTGTTAAATCATAAGAAGCACATGTGTTTTTTTGTTCTGTTCATTTAGATATGGGAGTTACCTTATAAACAGGCCCAAATCCTCCCTCTCCAAGCTTGTTTGAGGGATCGAAATCTTGAGTGGCACTTTTAAGTTCAGAGTAAGCAAAAGTGTAAGGTTTTACGTCCATAAAAAGCAGCTCTGCAACATAAATATATATTTTTTAAAAATAATAATTTAAACGATGATATTTATTATTTAAGGTCTGAGGCTTATTTTTTGTGTGGTTATTACATATATACAGTACCTTCATCATTTGTGTAACGCTTTTTGCTTTTTCGGATGATGAAGATAATCACTCCCGCAAAAAAGATGCTCAAAAGTCCTATGCTAGTAGTAACACCCACAATAATACCAGTCCTATTCTTTTTCTTCGATGGTGGCCTGTTTGTTACCGTTGGTGTAAAATCTGAACAACCAACACTTAGGCCTCAGGAGGTCGAAAGAAATACATGCAAAACAAAGAAAAAATAGAACTCCCAAGTCGTTAATTCATTGTGATACCTGGTTTTGCAGTGACGGCCGATATTAGTGGCCCAAAAGTACCTATTACAGGAACACTAAATGATCCTTTGCCAGCCCAGAAAAGGTGAATTTCAATGTAATTTTCTGATACATTTGCTTTATATTCTCTCCTGACTGCTCGGACAGCAGTGTCACCAGCTGTTCTACGTATATCAAAATCCTTTTCAACAAGTCTTCCCTGAAAACACAGAGATATGTCTCAGAATTCAGCAAGAAGATTAGATTACTACACCAACAAGTAAAGCGCGCGATAGGAGGCAGACCTGGACATAAATGTCAAATAGTCGTCTTCCTAAACTTCTCCATGTCTTGGAACCAAAAATTAGTATTTCAGCAAACTGAAGTGTTATGGTATAACCTCCATTTTCTAGCCCCAACCCATAATATCTTAGGGAAGAGGAAGAATGCCTTGCTGAACGAAATAGCTCCGAGTCCAAAGCGTTAATAACCCATATATTATTGCTACTTCCGGAAAAAAGTCCTACACTACTGACTGCCCATCTCTCAATATCGCTGACTACAAATGAAGCTTGTCCAAGATCCTTGTCGTCCCTCTCAAATACTTCTCCGCTAACAGACCTTATTTGTGGGCCTCCGCAGTTGATCGAAAAGTCAGAATCTAGACACACCGGTCAATAGAGAAAACCTTAAGCAAACAATTTTTGCCAACATTACATATACAAGCTACCACAATGGTTATGATGATATATCTCTGTCACACTTACAGATTCCTTTGCCTCGGTTGCATGGGAAATTTTTCTGCAGGCACTTTAGTCCCGGTAAAACCCTATATAACAAATTGAAAAACAGATTTAGAAAATGAGAAAAAATCAAACTGGAATTTCAGTCATTAACAAGAACATAGTTCATAAAATCACCTCTTGTCCAGACCTTCCAAGGTGAAGTTGTTAACTACAAGGTTGCTGCCATATAACATATACAATTTTATTATGATTCTAAATGAATATTTCCTATAAGGAAAAGGAAGCAAAAAAATATTATGAAATTGCAAAACAACGTTAATATAAGTATGCCTTTCAAGTCGTCACATTTTGTAACTTTATCTTCTAACTCCGAAATATATAGTTCAATCTCTCGACGTAAAAAATAATATGGAATATAACTTTTTTTTATCACCGTAAAATTTGTAAATGTTTGATAAAATATATATTTATAAATAATATCTCAAATCCAAACTCTATCGAAGAAGAGTTCAATTCCATTTTTTAAAAACATGAAAATATAACTTATGTAATGTAAACCTTTCAAAACATACATATAAGAGTTATATTTACCTATTATTATTATTATTATTATTATTTCGTAGAATTAGTTTGTGTTTTTCGGAAATGGCAACTTCAGGTTTTTTTTTTGTTTTTGCAGAAAACCTTGAAAATATATAACTTATTAGTAGTGAGTTTATTTACTTACAGTTTCAAGTTTGGTAAGCTAACCCATGAAGGAAGATTACCAGACAAATTATTGTATGAAACATCTCTGAAATAAAAAGAAATAAGAAAGATTAGAATCTACAGAATAGTATGTTAATTATATATTCCAAAATAGTTTCCTCATTATGTATCTTGTACAAAACTTCATGTTTTTTTTTGAGCAAAATCTAAAACTTAGTTAAGTCTATATCATAACTTTTGGCTGTAAATACCAAATTTCTTTGAAAAAATAACTTTTACTCCTAATTAGTGATAGTGACCAAAACACCTTGGACTAAGACTTGTTACTTAGCAATACAAAACATCATGGTCAACTAATCTCAATCCAACTACGGCGAACAAAACACTAATTCATCTGAAAACGAATTCAGCTCACATATATGTCAATGGGAGAGGGAGATGGGGAAGAAGATATAGCGATGTTGGAGAGGAGAGGTAGAAGAAACAGATTTTCTTGCGAGAGGGAGAGAGGAGATCCAAAGATATGGAGATTGGCGAGAGATGAAAAAAATAAGTCACTGGCGAAATGAGAGATTTTTCAGCAAAAGAGAGAGATCTTTCAATTAAAGGAAGTATAGAGAAATCTGTTGATGGAAGAGATACGACGGCAGAGTTTTCACATTCCTAAATCACTGTAGCAAATTCTTGAATTACTTTTCTAGCTTATGATTTTGTGCATATTCCCTTAATTATAGAGGACTTTGTAACTCACATATTGGTCAGCGCCTGGCTCTTTTGAGTGGGCAAAGAACCATTGAACGTGTTGTTTCCCAGGAACCTAAAATAAAGACAACAAAGTTGTACTGTCCATATGGGAAAACTGGTAGGGAATGCATATATATACACCAACATAAAGACCCAAAAGAAGTAGAGATCTTACAAATGAGTAAGTTGATTCAAGTTGAAAAGTGAAGCTGGAATTGGTCCATGTAGTTTGTTGAAACTTAAATCACTGGAAACACATTAAGTTCAATGAATGGGGAGAAATGAGATATAATATTATCATGATCAGCGCTGTAAATTAAGAGATCACAAATCATCTCACACTTGTATACTTACACTTGTTGGAGACTGGAGTATTCCCCGATATTAGAGGCTATTGTCCCCGTAAGATTGCTGTTCCTAAATACTCTGTGACACATATATCATCGATGTTTGATTAGTACACATAAAGGAAGAGAGGGAAACAGTTCACAGTTCATGAGTTGGAGTAGAATGTGTTGCCTTACAATATAGTTAGAGATTTCATGTCTTTGATGAATTCGAGAGAAGTGCTTCCATTCGATATTTCACCAAGACTCCTACATTTTAGGGTGGGATTACGTACGTGCAGGAGGAGATCAGAGGGAAATAGATAGCAAATAAAAGTGATTTATTATGACACCAATGCAACAACACTTACAGTTCTTTCAAAGAAGTTAAGTTGGAAAATGACGACGGTATCGGACCACTCAAACCAGTTCCCACAATTTTCCTGCAGTAAAACATAATAACAATCGCTGAATCCCAAAATTTAAATGCCATGAAGAATTTACTACTAGGACTCTAGGAGTAATGTAACAAATACATTAGATATATATATATAACTCTGTAATAAAATGAAATTCATTCTTACAAGATAGTAAGTTTGGTCCATGTTCCAATAAATTTCGGTATCCGGCCAGTAATGTCCATATCAGTTATATAACTGGTACAAACAACATTAAGGAAAAAATTCACCCCCACGGCAAAACGAAATAAACAATAATAATGTAAAGCAATAAATCGTTTACAAAAAAATGTAGAAATCCGACGATAAAACTTAATTAGATGGTCATTTTCAATAAAAAAAAATTAACATCTTACGCTTCTTGCAGCTCTACAAGATTAGCAAATGATAAAGGTATTTCCCCACTAAGTCCAGAAACTCCTAGGTATCTGCAATTAATAGAAAAAAAGTAAGTAACGCATACAAGTTACAACCAAGGCATGGTTAAGATCATAAAAATTACATTTTCATTAGTTTTGTACAGTTCCCAATCTCAGCTGGTATAGATCCGGAAAAGTTATTTACACCAATTCCACTGCATGCAGAAAATATTTACTAGATAGGATCAATAAGATGAAAGCATACATATCTGACAATTAAGAAGAATGAAAGAAGAAGGGTACAGCGATTTCAGTTCTGTAAGCAAACCAATTTCCTTGGGAAAGGGGCCAGACAAGGCATTGATCCCAAAAGTCCTACACAGTTGGTGGTTGAGAAACAATACTGAGAGATCGATGAGAAAGAAAATAGAAATGAAGAAGAAGGTTTCATTCAGTCAACATGCGTGGTTTTGGAGCCTTAGGGCACCTCCAAAGGGAGGTTATTAGCGAGATTTATAGGTTTTTTATTATGGACAAAAAATAAATAAAAACTGAACAATTAAAAGTAAAGAGAGAGCCTAAATTAGAAGCTGTATTTAGGAGTACTTAAAAGACACATAACAATTATTCATTGGTAAAAAATATATTCATCTCTTTCTCTCTCTATAATTTCTTCTCTCTCTAGCATTTTTATTTAATCAATCTTTATTAATGAAATGTTGTTAAGCATTCTTTAAGAGGTTTATTACAGCCATTCCATTCGAGTCAGATATCCAATTGCAGGAGGAATGGAGCCTGTAAGATAGTTTTGAGCCAGGTTCCTGTAGAGAAAAAGAGGCATATATATGTCATTTTGTTTGAAGTACAAAAAAAAAATAATAATAATAATAAGCAAAAAGGAAAAAGTCGTCTATATACAGATTAATGAGGTATGTCAAAGTCCAGAGCTGTGGAGGTATAGCTCCGACTACATCTTTCTGAAAAACCTTGCTGTGAATTAAAGTAAAACAACAAACTCCAGTGGGTAAATATATTATATGTATACACAAAAAGATAAAGAAAATAATATGAAAGAGGAGAGCATATATGTATAGTGTACAGGGCTGTGATGTGGCAGATTGTGGAGTTTTCGAAATTGCAGTCGCATTTGATAAAAGGGTTGTGGTTTTTGTCGTCGATGGTGATTCTCTCGTCGATGGCGGCTCCAGAGCAAAGTTCGCCGCTGATGTTCCATTCCCTCGGAGCACGGATCCTCCAAGCCGCAAAGATGGAGTTCAAAGCCCGCGCTGTATCAGCTTATACCGTAACCGTCAGTTAATTTAAACCAAACAGCTTTTGTGCATGATTTCGATAAAGTACGTGTTTAACGACAGAGAGCAGAGACCTTCGTCGGGATGAGTAGTGGCTACGGTTTGGTTTTGAGCCCGAACTTGGTGAACAACCGAACATGGGATACATAACAGGAACCAGACGGTGAAAAGCAGACACGTGGGCATCGTCGTTCGACAGCGTTTTACTTTTCTTTTTGTTTTTTGGTTGAACCAACGGTTGTTACTACAAAAGATTCCATGTATAAACGTCTCATCCTTCCTTTATATGTTGTCTTAATTGTATTTAATTTCTCATTATCTTCTTGACTTATATTCATTTACTCTTACATAAACCAACCAAACTGGACAATGTCTTATTCTTAGCTTTTTTTTGTTTGACGAATTATATAATAATAATAGTTTTACTTTAAGTTTGTTGGGAAAAAGATATTAGCTATATTTATTCACTCAAATCCAAAATTTAATGACGGCTGATGTTTCTTTGATTTATCATTTTCCAAATTGCTCTTCGCACCATGTTGATGATAGTTTTGAGAATATCCAATTAATTATTAAGATAGAGACTTGTGAATAAACAAAAATATTTTACAGGAGAGAAAAGCTTTTTGACAACTATTTCTAAATTTTCATTTTTTATTCAAAAATATAGTATGTTTTCCAAATTTTAACATAAAATATAAATAGAGATTGTGACGAGTCATCTGCAACATGCAAATTTTATTTTATTTTTAAATCGCGAATGGCCAACCTGTTAGAACCGTAAATAAAACAGTTATGTTTAAGCTTAACCTGCTAAGTCCGGTGGATTAGCTGACTTTAATAATATATTTTAAAATTAAAAATTTAATAATATTTAATAATTTTAAAAATATTTTTAATTAATATTAATGTTTATATTTATTTTAATTGATTTTTTTAATTTTTACATTTAATTTATTTATGTTATCACATATTTCAAATGTTTTATATTGATAGTCATGTTAAAATAATAATTTGAAGTATTTACTTTAATAAAGTATTGGACGAATTTTCACGCATACGCATACTTGATCGTCAACTAAAATAACATATTCTTCAGTTTCTTATAATGGCAAAATGGATCGAACCAATACAATTAAGTAAATTAACAAACAAAGCTGATTTAACTTCTTACCAAAAAAAAAAAAAAAAAAAAAAAAAAAAAAACCTATCATCTAGCTGACTAGCTCACTGGGAGTTTTCCCTTACTACATATAGATAGGGGAAATCAATGAGTAAATACGGATTAGAGTGTGCCAACGTAACGATTAGATCAACGGAGTTATCATGCACCTCCGATTAGAGAAATAAGGCTACAAATTTCTCAAAATTCTCCAACAAGCTACCATTAAAGCCACGTTGAAAAATCGACAAATGTTAAAAAGCCAGTTTTAAATTAAGATATAGTGAGCTAGCTAGTGTCGTCTTCTTCATTCTCCATGGCTAATTCAAAGCGGAGACAATGGCTTTGCCCCTTCTTCTTTTTGACGTCAATGCCACTAACACTAATAAAATAATTACAATTCATTCTATGTATGTTTATCATAGCAATATTCTTTTAGCTGATTTTCACAGATTCTCCTGAGCTCGTCTTTTGCTTCTTTGCCACGTCAATTCAATAAAAACGTTAAGACATTAAAATCTTATGTCCACCAGCAATGAATGGAGATTCCATGGGAGATCAGTGGAGATTCAAAGGATTGTGATCAAATGGAGCTTAGAAGAATTGACAAGATCATTAAAGAGATTGATATGAAACAGGTTCTAAGTCTGAGAGAAGAAACACTTTAAGATTTTTGTGACAAATAAAGGCAGTGAACCGATTAGACTTGTAAGTTATTTGACAGTGACTACACCAGAGGCTACATATGCAGTTGGGCTAGAAGGTTCACATTTTTGTGGAAACGACTCCTTTATCTTCCTAGAATCCTCGTTTTGGGATGGTTCAAGGCGAGGAGGATGAAGAAGAAAGATCCGGGTATATATGGTGGGGAAGAAGAGAGCCAGTTGAATGAAGATCGAGATGAGTAGAATATAGACATGTGCTCCAAAAAGTTTCACTGTCATTGATAGGGCAATACTATTAGTTTACATACTAATTTTTCAATTCAAATTTTATTTCAAATCTGTGGATTTAATGAAACGGGTTAATTTCCGAAACAAATACAAAGAGAAACCAAGACTTCTATCAAATAACAAATAAAACTACATACATTTGAAATGCTTTTTCAGTGGCTCATTCAGACACTTCCTGACTTACTAGTCATCTCAAACGTTTATCTCCCCTCGTTGATCTTCACTCCATGCATTGGCTTAAAGTCACCCTCTCTGGGCGTCACAAACATCGTGGAGGAAGACGAAGAAGCGGTTGTGTCTTTAGTTTGAAAGGTACCGAAAGAGGAACTTGAGGTTTCATCAAATGTCCAGTCAGTTAGGTAGCCTGGCTTAGAGGTTACATCACTGACCTCAACGTCTCCTGAAAGCATGGCCACTACTCTTGACATCGGTGGTCTCAAGCCATAAGATGCCTGAATGCAAAGCAGAGCAATTCCTATCATGCGTTTTGCTTCTTCCATGTTGAATTCAGTCAGTCTATGATCGATTAGGTCACCTTCGCGGCTTTGCTCGTGCTGATTCCATGCCTATTAATTACATATGCACCACGTTTATATTGACTTATACTATTTAAAAACATATAAAACCAACAAGAACGTACCCAGTCCAGAAGATATTTTTTTTCATCATCCAGGTTCGTATCATAGTTTTTCCTTCCACTCACTAGCTCAAGAACCACAACACCAAAGGCATACACATCCGTTTTCTCTGATAGTTGTCCACGCATGGCATACTCTGGCGAAAGATACCCACTGCATTGGTACAACACCATGTGTTATAAACCCATGGTATTGTTGGAAAGAAGAAAATAAGTTGAGGGTTTGGGGATAGGTACATCGTCCCTGCCACTTTGGTACTCATGTGGGTGTTACTGTCATCGTATAGCTTTGCAAGCCCAAAATCAGAAACTTTTGGGAGCAGCTTAGAGTCAAGTAAAATGTTGCTGGCCTTCACATCCCTGTGAACTATGCGATCACTTGCCTCCTCATGGAGGTAAGCTAGACCTCTGGCAACCCCCAGGCATATCTCAAAACGGGTTGACCAATCAAGGTGTAAAGTCTTTTCACCTCCTGCACCATCCAAAATCAGCTTGGCAGAAAATCAAAGGTAAATAAGTAATCTTTCTGCTCATTAGTCATTACCAAATAATGCATGATCGAGACTTCCATTTGGGAGGTACTCATATACAAGCAAACGATGATCTCCTTCATAGCAGCACCCGTAAAGCTTTACCAGGTTACGATGCAGAACTGTAGAAATTGTTACGATCTCTGCTACAAATTGTCCTTTTCCGTGTTGAGATCCAACCGACAACACTTTCACCGCAATCTCTCTTCCATCACTCAGGGTTCCCTGATGAATTAATGTGTTAAATCATAACAAAAAATACATGTGTATCTTGTTCATTTCGTATGGGGCCGGGCTTACCTTATAAACAGACCCAAACCCTCCCTCTCCAAGTTTGTTTGAGGTATTGAAATCTTGAGTAGCACTTTTAAGTTCAGAGTAAGTAAAAGTGTAAGGTTTTATTTCCATACTAAGCAGCTCTGCACACAAAAAGTTATGAATCAATTGGGAAGATGATATTCAAGCACAACGGATTGTAACTTGCTTGTGACAACTATACCTTTATCAACTGTGTAACGCTTTTTGCTTTTTCGGATGATGAAGGTAACCACACCCGCAAAAAAGATGCTCAAAAGTCCTAGGCCAAGACCAGCACCAACAACAGTACCAGTCTTATACTTTTTCTTTGATGGTGGCCTGTTAGCTACAGTTGGTATAAAATCTAAACAAGAATATGTAACACTTATTAGGCATCAGGATATGGTAAATAAAAAAACCAGCCAAAAGAAAGAAAATAAAAATAAGCCAGTTGTTGTGCTACCTGGTTTTGCACTCACAGCCGATACTAATGGCCCATAAGTACCCATAACAGGAATACCAATTGATCCTTTGCCAGCCCATAAAAGATGAATTTCAAGGTAATTTTCTGATACATTTGCTTGATAGTCTCTCTGAACTCCTCCGACAGTAGCGTCACCACCAACTATTCGGCGTATATTAAAATCCTTTTCAACAAGTCTTCCCTGAAAACGTGGAGATAGGTCTCAGTCTATTCAGCATTCCACAAGAAGATTATTAACTTGGAAAGCGGTAGGGCAGACCTGGACATAAATGTCAAAAATTCGTCTTCCTAAACCTTTCCATGTGTTAGAACCAATAATTTGTATTTCAGCAAACTGAAGTGTTACGGTATAGACTCCATTTTCTAGCCCCAACCCATAATACCTTAGGGAAGATGAAGATTGTCTTGCGGACCGAAAGAGGTCCGAGTCTAAAGTGTTAACAACCCATATATTACTTATACTCCTGGAAAAAGCTCCTACACTAGTGGCTGCCCATCTCTGAACATCACTCACTACAAATGAAGCTGCTCCAAGATCCTCGTCTTCCCTTTCAAATACTTCTCCGCTAACAGCCGCTATTTGTGGGCCTCCGCAGTTGATCCAAAAGTCAGAATCTAGACACACCAGTCATTAATAGAGGAAACCTTAAGCAAATCTTTTTTCCTACATAACATATACAATCACAACGGTTATAATGCACCAGCCACACTTACAGATTCCTTTGCCTCGATTGCAGGGGAAGTTCTTCTGCAAGCACTTTAGTCCTGGTAAAACTCTTTCAAACATAATGAAAACAGATTTAGAGAGAAGAAAAAAGAAATATAAAACTGGAATTTCAGGTATCAACAAGAACATAATTTAATAAAATCACCTCTTGTCTAGATCTCCCAAGCTGAGGTTGTTAGCAACAAGGTTGCTACACAAATAATATACACAGTTTTATTGTAATTCTAATCATTCTTTCCTACAAGAAAAAAATAAGCGCTGATATTGAAAAACACCTGTAGTATTTTGTGTACTTACAGTTTCAAGTTTGGTAAGCTGACCCATGAAGGAAGACTACCAGACAAATCATTGTACGAAACATCTCTGAGAAGAATAAAAGAAGAATGATTATGATCTAAATAATATGTTTTAAAACAGTTTCATGTTTGTCTTGTACAAAACTTGAGTCTATATATATGAGGACTTTGTGGCCTTCAAAAATGATCAATTATAAAGGACTTTGTAACTTACATATTGCTCAACGTCTGGCTTTTTTGAGTGGGCAAAGAACCATTGAACGTGTTGTTTCCCAGAAACCTGATATGAAGACAACCAAGTTCTTTCAACAGTTATCACTAGTACATATATACCAATGCAACATAAATTCCCCAAAAAGGTAGATAACTTACAAGTAAGTAAGTCCACTTATGTTGAAAAGTGAAGCCGGAATCGGTCCATGTAATTTGTTGAAACTTAAATCACTGGAAAAAACAGACACAGAGAAAATTGAGAAATAATTATATAATATTATCAGAAATATGTTAAGATCACTTGGGTGACTTTCACAAATCATCATACTCGTATGTATGTTGTAACTTACACGTGTTTCAGCTTTGAGTATTCTCCGATATTAGAGGGGATTGTCCCAGTGAGATTGCTGTTTCTAAATGTTCTGCGATCAATGTTAAATACAAGTACGTAAGGAGGAGAAGGTAACAGTTCAGGAGTTAGAGTAGAATTTGTTGCCTTACAATATATTTAGAGATTTCATGCCTTTGATGAATTCGAGAGAAGAGCCTCCATTGGATATATCACCAACACTCCTACATTTTAATTAGATAAGATTACGTGGAAGATACGATAGTAAATAAGAATGATTCTGACACTAATGCAACTAACAGACACATACAGGTCTGTCAAAGAAGTTAAGTTGGAAAACGACGAAGGTAGCGGACCACTCAAACCAGTTCCGTGAAGTTTCCTGCGGTAAAGCATGCCATGAAGAACTTTCCACTAAGACTAAAAATTAAGGAAACAAAATTGAAGATCATTCTTACAAGATAAGAAGTTTGGTCCATGTTCCTATAAATTCTGGTATCCGACCAGTAACGTCCACATCGTTTATGCAACTGGTACGTACGTACAAACATTAAGGAAAAAATCTCCCCACGGCAAAATATTAATCGATTACAAATTAAAAATGTAGAAATCCAACTATAAAAACTTAACTATATGCGAATAAAAATCTTACGCTTCTTGCATCTCTATGAGATTAGCAAATGATGAAGGTATTTCTCCACCAAGTCCAGAATTTCCTAGGTATCTGTAATATAGAAAAATGATAACAAAACTATATGATGATTATGAAAGATTATTAATTAAAACCACCGCAGAGATTAGTGAATTACACAAGATCAGTATTATGTACAGTCTCACATTTTCAGTAGTCTTGTACAGTTCCCAATCTCAGCTGGTATAGGACCGGTAAAGTTATTTAAACCTATACCTCTACATGCCAAAAAGATAGCTAGGTTCAACATTAAGGAAGCATCAAAATCTGACATTTAAGATGTTTTTTTCTGAAGAAGTATGGTGAATAAGAATAATAATAAGAAGAATCTTACAGCGATTTTAAATTTGTAAGCAAACCAATTTCCTTGGGAAAGGGGCCAGACAAGGCATTGATCCCAATAGCTCTACAAGAGTTGAGAAACAGTTGGAGTGTGAGAGACGCTAAAGAGAGAATAAAAATCAAAGGAAAAAGAAGGTTTCATTCATGAGAGCCTTATAGTATTACAGCCATTCCAGTTGAGTCAAGTTTCCAATTGCAGGAGAAAGAGAGCCTGTTAGATAATTTTGAGCAAGGTTCCTGAAAGAAAGAATGTCATCGTTTGAGCAAGGTACAACGAATCTCTTAATATTTCAAGGGTAAAAGTCTATACAGATCGGTGAGGTATGTCAAAGTCCAGAGCAGTGGAGGTATAGGTCCTGATACATCTTTGGCAAAAACCTTACTGTTGAAAGTGAAACAACATTGATTGAAGAAGGGGTGATGGATGCACAAAGATTTAAGGAAAAAAGAAAATAAAAAGAGAAATATATGTACAGGGCTGTGATGCGGCAGATTGTGGAGTTTTCGAAATAGCAGTCGCATTTGATAAGAGGGTTGTGGTTTTTGTCCTCCATGGTGATTCTCTCGTCGGTGGCGGCTCCCGAGCAAAGTTCGCCGCTGATGTTCCATTCCCTCGGAGCACGGATCCTCCAAGCCGCGAAGATGGAGTTCAAAGCCCGCGCTGTTACAGTTTATCCCACAACCAATCGTCAGTTTGTTTAAACCAAACATGCAATAGTACTTATGAAAAAGTACGTGTGATTTAGAGACCTTCGTCCGGATGAGTAGTGGCTACGGTTTGGTTTTGAGCTCGAATCCGGTAAACCGAACCTGAGATACACAAGAAGAACCAGACGGTGAGGAGCAGACACGTGGTCATCGTCGTTGACGGCTGTGTATATCGCCTCTCCCTTATATTTTGACTATCTTACTTCAAAAGCTTCGGTGAATCGCCTCCCTTAATTATATGTTGTCTTAATTTTTATTTTATTTTTAAACATTGTATGAAATTATCTTTCTTGACTTATTATATTCGATGACTCATATAATAACCAACCAAAACATGATAAGTGGACCAACGTCTCATTTATTTATGTTTTGACAGCAAGTGAAGTGACCAACGTCTTGCTATTACAATCTGACTTCAAGTCCGACACTTCCAGTCAGGGGCGGAGGCCGATACAAGGGAGAGGGGTCAGCTGTTTCCCGTCGTGTACGTTTTCCTTGATTCTGATATTTTGGGACATATGCCCGTCTCTATCTTGACAACTTAAAACCTAGAAGAATATATCTTAATAAGAACAACACTGTACATATATATATATATATATATATTTGTCAGATGATTATTGGTTTATCTTTTTTTCATTAAATAACTAAATTTTATCAAAATTGTTATTGTTTATATCTTTCGAATCTAGAGAAATAAACATAAATATTCAATATAAGTGTTTAAGCATTAATGCCATACATTTTAAAGTAGACAATTATGGATAGATAGAGGAGAAACATTATTATCTCCCCTCATTGATCTTGACTCCAAGCATCGGCTTAAAGTCGCCTTGTTTGGGCGTCACAAACTTTGTGGATGAGGACGATGAAGTGCTTGTGTCTTTAGTTTGGAAGGAGCTAAATGAGGAGCTTGAGGTGTCATCAAATTTCCAGTCGGGTTGGTACTGCGGCTTAGAGATTACGTCAGTGACCTCAACGTCCCCTGAAAGCATCGCCACCACTTTTGACATCGGTGGTCTCGAGGCATGAGATGTCTGAGTGCACAGCAGAGCAACTCGTATCATGCGTTTCACTTCTACCATGTTGCATTCAGTCAGCTCATGATCGATTATTTCAACTTCAAGACTTTTCTCGTGTAAATTCCATGCCTATTTAATTTACACCACAATTATATCAGCCGATACCATTTCCAATCAAAATGTATATAAGTAATTAACAAGGACATACCCATTCAAGAAGATAATTATTTTCATCATCCGGCCTCACATCAGAGATTTTCCTTCCACTTGTTAACTCAAGGGCTACAACACCAAAGGCATACACATCCGTTTTCTCTGTTAGATGTCCACGCATGGCATACTCTGGCGCAAGATATCCACTGCATTGTTAAAATATCATGTGTTATAAACAGCGCTGGTTATTAAGCCATGATATTATATATTGTTGCAAAGAAGAAAGCTAGTTGAGGATTTGAGGATACATACATGGTCCCTGCCACTCTGGTACTTATGTGGGTTTGCTTGTCATCGTATAGCCTTGCAAGCCCAAAATCAGAAACTTTTGGGACCAGCTTAGAGTCAAGCAAAATGTTGCTGGCCTTCACATCTCTGTGTACAATGCAAACACTCGCCTCCGTGTGGAGGTAGGCTAGACCTCTCGCTACTCCCAGGCATATCTCAAAACGGGTCGACCAATCAAGGTGTAAAGTCTTTTTACCGCCTACAACATCCAAAATCAGCTTGGTAGAGAATCGAAGATAAATAATTAATTTTTCTGCAGCTCATATACTTATTACTTACCATGGCCGAATAGTGCATGATCGAGACTTCCATTTGGGAGGTACTCATATACGAGCAAACGATGATCTCCTTCATAGCAGCACCCGTAAAGCTTTACTAGGTTGCGATGCAGAACTGTAGAAATTGTTACGATTTCTGCAACAAATTGTCCTTTCCCGTGCCGGGATCCAACAGACAACACTTTCACCGCGATCTCTCTTCCATCACTCAGGTTTCCCTGTGGAATTAATGTGTTAAATTTTAACAAAAACACATGTTCATTTTGTTCAGTTAGATATGGGGTTGTACCTTATAAACAGACCCAAATCCACCCTCTCCAAGCTTATTTGAGGGATCGAAATCTTGAGTGGCACTTTTAAGTTCAGAGTAAGTAAAAGTGTAAGGTTTGACGTCCATACTAAGCAGTTCTGCAATAACAAAGAAAAAAAAAACAATTTGAAAGATGATATTCAAGCTGAAGGGCTTGTTTGTAACATTTATACCTTCATCATCTGTGTAACGTTTTCTGCTTTTCCGGATGATGAAGATAACCACTCCCACAAAAAGGATGCTCAAAAGTCCTAAGCCAAGAATAGCACCCACAATAGTACCAGTGCCAAACTTTTTCCTTTGCGGTGGCCTGTTGGCTACAGTTGGTGTAAAATCTGAACAATAATATGTAACACTTAGGACTCAGGAGATAGAAAAAAAAACTAGGCATAAGAAGAAGAAAAGAACTCGTCAGTTGTTGTTGTGATACCTGGTTTTGCACTGACGGCCGATATTAGTGGCCCATAAGTACCAATAATAGGAACACTAAATGATCCCTTGCCAGCCCAGAAAAGATGAATTTCAAGGTAATTTTCTGATACGATTGCTTTATATTCTCTCCTAACCGCTTGGACCGTAGTGTCACCAGTTGTTCGGCGTATATCAAAATCTTTTTCAACAAGTCTTCCCTAGAAACACATAGATAGGTCTCAGAATACGAGATCAATACATCAGCTGCAAGTTAACTTGTAAACTAAGCAGTATAGTAGGGCAAACCTGGACATAAATGTCAAAAGGTCGTCTTCCTAAACCTTTCCATGTGTTAGAACCAAGAATATCTATTTCAGCAAACTGAAGTGTTACGGTATAGCCTCCGTTTTCAAGCCCCAGCCCGTAATACCTTAGGGATGATGAAGAATGTCTTGCTGTTTGAAAAATCTCCGCGTCCACAGTGTTGATAACCCATATATTATTGCTTCTCCCGGCATAAATTCCTACGCTACTGGCTGCCCATCTCTGAATATCACTCACAACAAATGAAGCTGATCCAAGATCCTCGTTCTCCCTCTCAAATATTGCTCCGCTTACAGACCGTATTTGTGGGCCTCCGCAGTTGATGGAAAAGTCAGAATCTATAGACCACCAGTGGCAGTCATTAATTGATAAGTCCTTAAAGCAAATCCTTTTTTTACCACAGAACATACTAAGCACAGTTGAGAACAACGGTTATGATGATATCTATCTTACAAATTCCTTTGCCACGATTGCATGGGAAGTTCTTTTGCAGGCATTTCAGTCCTGGTAAAACCCTTTAAACATAATGAAAATATATTTAAAAAGAAGAAAACACTTGAAATTAAATTCTAATTTCAAGCACTAACACAAATATATTTAATAAAATCACCTCTTCTCCAGACCCTCCAAGCTGAAGTTGTTAACAACAAGGTTGCTGCACAAATAACATACTATTAGTTTTACCATTATGATATTGAGAGCATGTTCAAGTATCTAAATAAAAAATTATGATGTTTTATGCAAAAATGATTTTAGACATCCACAAATTAATGTGTCTTAAATTAGACACAATTAATCTAAATTTTAGATCAAATATTTCATTAAAATTAATTACTATATTATAATAACTATGTTAAAACACTCATGCATGAAGTCACTATTGTACATGTTCTTATAAATATTCCCTAATAAAAGAGAGGGAGGGAAAAAAATTTCTGAGATTGAAAAGAAACAGTAAAATCCAGATTAGTTGTCATTTTTTTGAAGTTAATTTATTTTTAATTAGTTGGAGATTTATGTTTTCAATACAATTTTTGATAAATTTTCCAATTTTATCCTTATTTTATTATTATTAATTGATGATATATAATAACAATATATTACTAAAGGGTAAAACTGATAAATTAAATGTTTTCTTAGTATCTGTGAAAAAAATAACTAATTGGAAACAGAAAGAGTGGTGTTTTGTTTCTTACAGTTTCAAGTTTGGTAAACTGACCCATGAAGGAAGACTACCTGACAAATCATTGTAGGATACGTCTCTGGAAGAATTAAAAAAAAAGAAAAGAAAAAAGAGAGATTAGGATCTACAGAATAATATATGGGGGCAATTCTCATTAATATAGGGTACAAAATTTGAGTTTTTTTTTTGTTTTTTTTTTGTTTTGACAAAACAAAACTTGAGTCTATTACAGGACTTTGTGGCTCTCAAAGGTGATCGATAATAATGGACTTAATAACTCACATACTCCTCAATGTCTGGCTCTTTTGAGTGGGCAAAGAACCATTGAACGTGTTGTTTCCCAGAAACCTAATATGATGAAGACCACAAAGTTCTTCCCATAGTTATCACTGGTAGGAATACATACCTATGAATTGAAGACCCAAAAGAAGTAGAAAACTTACAAGTGAGTAAGTTGATTTAAGTTAAAAAGTGAAGCCGGAATTGGTCCATGTAATTTGTTGAAGCTTAAATCACTGGAAAACAGTCACGAACTACACATTAAGTTCAATGAATGTTAAGATACTTTGGTGACTTTTACTAATCATCCCACTCGCTTTACAGAAAAGACTCTGAAACACGCCACTATAAAAAATACTCGCGTTTTCTGTGGACGTGTGTTGTACTTACACTTGTTGGAGACTTGAGTATTCCCCGATATTAGAGGGTATTGTCCCAGTGATATTGCTGTTCCTAAATAGTCTGCGACACATATATCATCAAAATGTTAATTAGATACACGTAAAAGGAGGAGAAGGAAACATTTCACGAATTAAAGTAGAATTGTTGCCTTACAATATGTTTAGAGATTTCATATCTTTGATGAATTCAAGAGAAGAGCTTCCATTGGATATATCACCTAGACTCCTATACATTTAAGATAAGGATTATGTCGGGGAGGAGAGAGAGAAAATAGTAAACAAGAATGATTATGACACCAGTGCAACCACATGATCCAAACATACAGTTCTCTCAATGAAGTTAAGTTGGAAAATGACGACGGTATCGGACCACTCAAACGAGTTCCGAGGATTTTCCTGCAGTAAAACACGATGTATTCATGTTTAAATGCCATGAAGAATTTTCCAGTAGGAGTAATAATTAAGATAAAATATATAAAAACAGGAGCAGTAATGTAACAAATACATTCAGAAGTTAACAAACCACTAATATTACTTAATAAAAATTAGGGTGTGTTGGCAAACCAGTACGTTTTTAAAACATACAGTAAAACCTCTATAAATTAATACTCTATAAATTAATAAACACTATAAATTAATAAATTTTGCTAGTCCCAAGTCGGGCCAATGTAAAAATTAACCAAATTCGATAAGATAATAAGATAATAAGTTTTTTTGAAATCCCTATGTAAATATAATCCCAATAATATCATAAATTAATAATCACTATGTATATATATATATATATATATATATATACTAATAAAAATT